CAAAGGAACGTGGGGGCTTTGTTCATGAGTCACTGAAAGTTAAGCAGGTGCAGCAAAAAAATTACGAAACTAAATGGTATACAAACCTTCTTCACAAGATAATCTGAGTGTAGGAGAAAACATGTGTTACTATAAGTAAGTAGAGCCTTAGTTCATACTTTTGAGTATTGTGAGCAGCAAAGTTTCACCAGACCTAGTAGTGGGATGGAAGGACTGTCCTCTGGAATGACTGGGCTTCTCTTCTCTGAAGCTTTGAAGAATGAGAGTTGATTTCATTTGAACACTCAAAATTCTGAGAAATTAACAGTAGATGCAGGATGCAAGTTTTCATTGACTGGTGGATCTAGATCTGAGGAACACAGTCTTAGAATAAGTGGTAGATCATATAAGAGTTGATGCATTTCTTAACTCAGAGGGTGGTGAAACTTTGGAATTCTCTGCCCCTGACAGCTGTGGAGGCTTAGCTATTAAGTATATTTAAAAAGCAGCCTGATATTTTTACATGTATGAGATTGATTTCTATACGTTTAAAAACATCAATCAATAGAAAGTGATTGTAATAGAACAGGATAGTGCAGCAAAATGGTGAAGTAGAAAATCAACTTTGATCGCATTGAATGGTGGAGCCAGTTTCATGGGCTGAATGGCCTACTCCTTTGCCTTTTTCTTATAATATCTTATGTCCTTATCCAAAGAGCTGCAAAACCTTACCAAGCAACATTTTATCTACTACTTTTTACCGGAAGACACCAGCAATCACAAGTTATTACTTATTTTGACATGGGATAACACTATATATAAATAATGGATGCATTTTTCTCTCACAGGGCGATATAATGTTTCAAGCCCTCCTTTGTTGTACTTTGTGCTTCATGTTCTGACATTAATCCGAAATAGCATTGAAGCTTCTGAAAAGTGAGTAAATAACATCTATTTTGGCTATGAAATCAGGTTCAGAGTAATGCTATCAATGAGCAGGTGTCACCTTGACTCAAGCATAAGGCAGATCAGGCCAAGCAGCATCAGAGGCGCAGGAAGTCTGACGTTTCGGGCCTAGACCCTTCTTCTGAATTTCTG